AAGGAATGATGGAAATAGAAAATCACCATTTGGCTAAGGCCATAGTAATACTTGTTGTAGGCAAGAATCATCAATGGTTTTCAAAATTAATTGGCAAAAGTATGATTAGAAGAAACAGGCTATTTGCATAGCTCAAAGTGTCTCTCCAGAAGATACTTATTATTTTCAATGGGAAAACAGTGTCTTTATGGACACTGCCTTAAGCAGTGTTCAAACTTAACATCACCTGTAACAAGAGATACTGTTAACGTGGGTCTTTTGATGTGTTGCACCAAGAAGGCAAACATCACTTCTGTGGTGTTTTTGCCAAAAATCATAATCTGAATTTAATCATGAGGAAACATCAGATAAGTCCAAATTGAGGGACATTCTGTAAAATAATTGACAGTACTCCTCAAAAGTGTCAAGGTCATGGAAGACAAGGAAGTTCTGAGAAAGTGCCCTGGATTGGAGGAGACCAGGAGAGATGATAACTTTCTTCAGTGTAGGATCTTGGATTGGATTCTGACCGGGAAAGGGACATCAGTGGATGATTAACAAACTCTGAACATTTGTCCATTAGCTAGTAGTATTGTATCATTGCTAATTTTCTGGTTTTGATAATTGTATTATGGTTATGTCTGGTGTTATTTGAAAAAAATCTGGATGGAGGATATATTGGAACTCTGATTATTTTTACAACAATATTTAAGTCTGAGAAATGAAAAGTTAAAAAAATACATTAGATTTCTGTGAGGACACATGAGGTGTCATACATGTGAAGTGCTGAGGACAGCCTGCCACAAAGGCTTGTTTAACACGTAGGTGCTGTTGGTACAGGTCATTTTATAAGTTATAAATAATCTTATAAGTAATGTGTATTCTATTATTGTAAGTGATGTATTTCCTAACATTGTCATCGCTTCTTACCGATTTCATTTTCCCCCCTCCCCTGTAAAAAGCATATTAAACATGTATGTGTTTTTTCTTTTAAAGAGATAAGGTAGGATCAGATTTTATTCTGAGAAATTTCTCTGGGGGCTGAAGGAGTATTACTTCCTTCCTCCAGACTTGGTCCTGTGTTGCAAACTATGCTGGCCTGGGAAACAAGGATTGAGCCCGGGCATCACGGAACCAACGTGGTTTGTCATTGTGCCACCTGGCGGCGGAGTGTGCTTTCCCCAACCTGTCGCCCTTGTGCCTTAGAACTACTTTAGCTGTTTTACTCAGTTACCTTTATTGAACTCTTGCTAGGCTCGTATGATCAGTCATTTAGTCTTCACAGCAGTTGTATTCACTAAGTGGTATTTTATTCATTTTAAGATAGTAAGACTGAGGTTCAAAAATTTTAAGCATCCTGTCCAGGGTTTCAAAGTAAGTGATGGAGCCAGGATTTGGATTGCAGTTGCCCTGAATTCAAATTTGATTCTGAAATTCCTGGGAGTCAAAAAATCTCTCCATGTGTAGGGATTATTGGTATAAAGCAGCGGCTCTCAACTAGGGGGTGGTTTCCACCTCCAGGGGAAGTTTGGCAATGACTGGAGATATTTTTGGCTGTATTAACTGGGAGGAGGTAGGGGGGAGGCTGCTACTGGCTTCTAGTGGGTAGAGGCCAGGTGAGTGTTGCTAAACAGGTTACAATGCATAGAACAGCACCCCTACAGCAAAGAATTATCCATCCCTAATGTCAATAGAGCTGCTATGAAACCCAGGTGTCGAGTTTTCTAAAGGCAACATTTGAACGTAGAAATCTGAGGCTTTATTTTTTCACTTAGCAAATATTTACTGAGCACTGTGCCAGATAATGTGAGCGATGTGGAAACAATACACCAGTCTGTGCCAATGAGGAGGCTGCAGACAGAAGGGCAGGGGTGGGGGTGGGAGATGCACGCCAACACCTCAACTTAAGGCAGAAGATGAAAAGTGCAGAGAGAGTCAAGTTAGGGCTAAGCTTGTTCACATGAGGGAGAGCTCATATCTGGTCCTGGGTGGAGTCAAGGGAGGCTGGGGAGGAGGTGGTTTTGGGCAGGTTGTGTGAGCAAAGTTGAGCTGGTGGGAAAGCACAGGACCAGCTCGGGAACAGCCCGAGGTCTAGTTGAGTGGAGCCCAGAGGTCTGGTTAGTGCGAGGAGGGGTGGACGGGAAAGGCAGCTGTGGCTGGAGCTTTGAATCCAGGCTGAGGACTCTAGCCTTGGTGTCAGTCTTGGTGGTGGAAAAGCTTTCCCTTCCAGAAGGGTGTTCTAGGCCCTAAGGCTGTGGGGCCCAGCAGCTTCCAGAGAGCTCTCTCTGTAATGGAGGGGATGTTAGAAATTGGGATGGAGTAGGGTGAACTCCTGATTTTAGGACCACGAGTCGATGCTAAGTATGTTACAAAGCTATTTCATTTCAAAGTGGCCCTTGGAGAGATGTTTCCCTCAAGTGGCAGCACACATGGGGATCGGTCCCTTCTGCACAGTTGTACTGCTAAGGGCCTGGCCACTTGGGCTGTAGTGAAGGCTGGCGCCAATTCAGAACCCCTAACCCAAGGTCTGCTTCCCATAGGTGAGCTGTTCAAACAGGGCTTGGTGTGGCTACAGCTTCAAACACGGTACTACCTGGTGGTGTGATTTTTCTAGTTTATCACCTTACCGTGTAATCATAGTAAAAATTGTTAGAATATAATCGAGGACTTCCTTATTGTCTACAGATGTACAATTGCCTTCAACATCCTGCCACCACCGCCACCAGTAATTTCCCTGGGGAAATTACTCTCTGGAACAAGGATTGGGGGAGAGGTAAGATAGCAAATATTGGAGGAGCAGTTATTTTTTCTCCCACCAGGTACAGTTCCAGACACTTTCATACACGCTGGCTCCTTTAACTCTCACAACCCTCTTTGGATTTATGTACAGTTCTTTCCTTTTTGTAAATCAGTGAATGAGGAAACAGGCCCAGAGAAAGGCTAACTTGCTCCTCATTCCTGTAGCCTGAAGAGGCTACATTTTACTGCATGTGTGGTCATGCTCTTTTCTGTTTTGCCACATTTTCTCCCACCCTTTATCCCTTTCAAAAAAATTTAATCTTTTTTTACCTGGATTTGGGCTGCTGGAGACCATGGACATCAGCATTAGTAGCAGCAGCAGAAGGAGGGAAGAGATTAGAACTTTCATTTCAACTGCTGGTGCTGTGGTAGGTCACTTGAAGACTGTGTGGAAGGTTCCCAGTTAGAAGGTCTGCGCTTCAATCCCAGGCCAGTGTTCTCTTTAGATGGTGAGAACGGATAAGTTACCCTGGCCTTGTTAGGTAACAGTTAAGTTGGATCATGTGCTTTATGGGAATCTGGGAGGTCAAACTGGCCAAACAAAAGAAATGAAGCATTCTTAAGAACATGAGAGGGTGACTGATAACTTGGCAGCATAACTCATTCCCTCCCTTCTTTCTTCCTGCCTCCCTGCCTACCAACATGCTTTGATTTCTTCCCCAAGTCTTTTTGCTTGTTTGAATTTCCTTATACCGAGTGACATTTTCTAGCTTAGTATCTGGCAGGAAAGTGAGTGCTAAAGGTTGGCAAAGAGAGGAGGACACGGTCTGTTTCCCCTCTGTCTTCCCCACTCTCATCCTTGCAACAGCAGTGTTGTTGTTTGGGAAGTTGCCGCGTCCTGGCTGTTTACAATTTCCCCGAATTCTGTGGCCACGTGAGGTGGGAAGCAGAGAGGACCAAGGAGGAGAGGCTCTTCTCTCTTGCCCCAAACCCTGCCCTGGAGCACTGGGTCAAAGCAGGCCTCCTCGTTGGTCAGGAAGGTGGCCGTGGCCTAAGGGCTCCTGCCTAAAGGAGAGGGAACTGGGTTGGTGGAAGACCCTCTAGGCTTCAGGTCCCAGAGGGTCTGAGAAACAGCAGCCGCAGCAGGGGAGGTGATTGCCCAGGCTGCTGAGGCTCTTGGC